TTATACCCTTTGAATCAGTAAGCTCACAAGGGGGCTTACTTCTAGAGAAAATTCCACAGATGAGGAAAAGACGTGGACGTAGATGTGTTCATGGCAAAATCATAGATGTGAAATGCTGGCTGGAATACAAGTTATTCAAGAATAGGAGAATGACCATTTCCTCAAAGGAATATCAAGTGATCATTTGAAAAAATGCTAAATGTGCAAACTCTAGGAACACGGAAAAATAACTATAAACAGCAAGTGAAGCTGGAAGCACAGATTTCTGCTTCCAGTAATGGCAGGTTAGGTAACAGGGGCCAATCTTCCTTTAGAAAACAGAAAGAAAGCTGGACAAAGTTCAGAGATTCTCTTAAGCATTGAAGATGATCAGAGCAGTGAGGAATTACCAGAATAAGACCGGGCAGAAATAGAAACCCAGACAGCGGAATTTGCAGGGTCTTTGCTGGGGTCAGGTACCAACCAGAGAAAAGATTTCGGGCCACACAGGGGTTTTGACAGCCTGGCAGGGTGAAGGGCTTTGTGGGCGAACCGGAATAGAGATCAAGAGAAACTATCCAGCCTGAACGTGGAGGGAAAAATAAGAATAAAGATATAGAAAATAGCACGAGAGACATGGGACAAGGGAAAGGAAAAATTGCTTGACGTGTAATTGAAGTATTTGAAAGAGGAGAAAATAGATTCAAAGAAAATCGCATCCAGGCACATCACAGTAAAACTATCGAGGCAGAGAGAAAACCTTATAAACGGCCAGAGGGGAACAGCCACGTTACCTTCAGGGGAGCCACATTAAGACTTTCCACAGATAATAGAATCTAGAAACGCTGGACACACGTGTTTGCCGTGTGGGAAGGAAACACCTGCCAACCTAGAATTTTACACCCAGTGAAAAGACTCTTTGAAAGTGAAGCAAAATAAAGATGTTTTCAGAAAACAAAAATGAACAGAATTCATCGCCAGCAGACCTACCTCAAAAAAAAAAAAAAAAAAAAAAGAAATGAAAGGGAGTTTGTTGGGCAGCCAGACAGTGATCTCAGACTGAAAAAGGAGATGGAAGAAGAAAGAGGGTGACAGAAAAGGGTAAAATCACAGCTCCGTGAAGACGAACACTGCCGGTCCTGAGCGGTACTCATGACAAGGTCTTGCCGGGGTTTAAATAAGTGGATGATTAGAATGCCTGACACGAGGATGCAAAAGGCAGGAGGGGTTGTGTGGTTCAAGGGGGTTAAAAGTCTTTGCTGGGAAAGTGGTGGAAGGAGTCATTTGTCTCAGGCTGTGAAAAGTCAGGGACCCAAGTTGCAGTCTTGAGCATAAACAGCAAAAGAATATTCAGGTTATGAGCCAATGCTCAATGAATACAAAAGACGGCCAGCGAAGAGAGAGGAGGTCAAGAGAAACAGACCCGGCCGGGCGGCGCCGTGTCCACACCCTGCTCGGGAGGGAGCTGAGGGAGGACGCTGAACCCAGAGGAAGAAGCGTTGTTTCTCTGAGCTGTCTCACCCTGCAGACACTGGCGTGCACCAATCCTGACAGTCGCTGGGTTTTGCCAATTTGAGTCTCAAGAGGCATTTGTGTTTAGAAAAAGACTCTTCACAGGTTTGCTTTGCATTTTAAAGTTAATGTTTGGTTTTTGAAAGCTGCAAATTCACAAACTTAGCTCTTCCTCATCTTTAAGTCTTCCTTATGGATCCTGTTTTCCTGTTTGTAAGACCTGCAAGTCTTAATCGTCAGTTTTTAAGGGCCTTTGAAAACGACGTACTTAATTCATTAAATGCCTTCAACACTTTATGCTGCAATGCTAAGTGTAGTATATTCAAATTTCTTGTTAATTGTTTCAATTGTCTAATGAACAAAACCTTCTTAGTACCAATTCATCTTTAGAAATCTAATAATTGTACTTTAGAAATGCAATGGACCTGAAGTCTCTTTCGTAGCCCAAACTGTGTAAATGCACCAAGACTTCCGGGTAAGTCAATTAGTTAATTACACACTTAAGACTGGATTTGCAGAGGCCAGCCCGGCAGCCCAGTGGTTAAAGTTCTGTGAGCTCCGCTTCGGCAGCCCGGGTTCACAGGTTCAGATCAGGGTGACGACATATTCCACTCATCAGCCATGCTGTGGAGGCATCCCACATACTAAGTGGAGGAAGATTGGCACAGCTGTTAGCTCAGGGCTAATCCTCCTCACCAAAAAAATAAAAGAAAGGAGAAAAAGGAAAAAATTTCGTAATAAAAAGTTAAAAAAAAGTAAATTAAGAAACAAAAGATTGGGCTTGTGAGATTCTTTATAATATGCCAAATTCTTTAAACATTATAAGACTATGAAATATCCACCCTGTCTAGAGTCCTTGATGCAAAAGTGGTAGTTCTATGACTTTTTATTATATTAACCATTCTAGGCTTAATTCTAAGTCTTCCTGGGTTTGTCGGATGCTGACCTACTAAGGACGAAAAGCACCACCCCAGCGAAGAGACCTTACTTCTGACCAGATAGGGTGGCCAGGACCTGGGGGGATCTGGTCGCCCCCGGTGGGCTGCAGGGACCTCTCTTCACGTTGCTGAGTCAACGGCCCCAGACGTCAGGAAAAGATGCCTGTGTTCCTGGATCTAGGGTGTGCCCTTTCTTTAAAAACAGTTTTAAGCTAGTGAACATAACATGGACACAAAATTGCATAAAAGGAAAAAAGCAACATAAGTGTTTTTATCACCATGTCCCAACACACTTGTAACCATCACCCGGGAGAAGAAGTTGGGCATGCCAGACCCCAAAGGGCCGTCGGTGTCCCTTCCCAGTCACCACCCCCTCCCACCCCCAAGTGCAGTCGCTTCCTTGTCTTCCTTGCAGGCCGACCACCTGGTACACTTCCCCAAACACTGGAGGCATTTTTACTTTTGAAAACAGCTTCCATGAGGTGGAATCAATAGCGCATTCTCTCTGAACTTTGGCTTCCTCCGCTGTCACCTTTGCTCGCTCCGTTGGTCCCGAGAGTGGTTGCAGCTGTTTAATCTGCATCACTGCGTGGAGTTCTGGGCAATGGAAATTCTTGCCTTTTTTTCTTTTTGCTGAGGAAGACTGGCCCTGAGTTAACATCCATGCCCATCTTCCTCTACGTTGGGACGCCTACCACAGCATGGCTTGACAAGTGGTGCCATGTCTGCACCCAGGATCCAAACCTGTGAATCCCGGGCCAAAGCCCGGGGAACTGAACTTGACAGAAATGAACTTGACAGAACATGTGAGCTTAACTGCTACACCACCGGGCCGGCCCCGACATCCTTGCATTTTTATCCGTTATTTTCCTCATTGTCATTTAGGTTGATTCCCCTGTGCGGCTACTGTGAATAGTTTGGCTGTAGGTATTCTTGGCCAGGCCCTCTGGGGGCTGTGCCTCTGACAGTTATTTCCACATCAGGAAGTGGAATGGCCTGGTTATGGGAACGTGTGTTCTGCTCTCTTAGTTAACACAAACCATTTTCCAAGTTGGCAGCATCAGTTCGCATTGCACGGGCAGTATGTGAAAATCGCCCTCACGCTGCGGCGCCCCGACCCTTGGGGCTGTCGGCCTTTCTCATTTTAGTGTCATAGTACCTCATTTTGACTATAATTTGCACTTCCCTGAGAACTAATAAAATACGAAGTCTATTTCTATTTTATAACTGGATTGGTCCTCTGGATACCATGTCTTGTTCGGTGTCTGTTCAGATCTCTTACCCTCTTTTTACTGAGCTGTTATAATTTGTTTGTTGATCTGTAGGAGTTCTTAAATATTCTGGATGTGAGACTGTGTTTTTTTTTTTTAATAGCTTGTGGTAGGCAGAATAATGTTCCCCCTGCCAAAGATTTTCTGCCCTGGTCCCCAGAACTGGCGAGTACATCACCTTACATGGAAAAAGGGACTTGGCAGATGTGACTGAAGGAAGGACCTTGAGATGGGGGACGACCCTAGGTTCCCCGGGTGGGCCCCCCGCGATCGCACGGGTCCTGCAAAGCAGACGAGCTTTCCCGGCTGAACTCAGAGGCAGACACAGCGCAGAAGCAGGGTCAGAGACGAGCGCTCAGACCCGCCGGGGAAGGGGCAAGGAGACAGATTCTCCCCTGGGACCCCAGAAGGAGCACAGCCTTGCCAACAACGGGCTTCCAGCCCGGGAATACCCATGTTGACTTCAAGCCCGCAGAACGCTAAGATAACACATTTCTGTTGTTTTCAGCCACTACAGTTTTGCTAATGGGTTGTGGCAGGAGTAGGAAATGGGCGAGTATGTGTTGCAAAGTGATCCCACCCCTCTGTGACTTGTCTGTTCCTCTCTTAAGGTGTGGTTTGATGAACAGAAGCTCTTGATTTTAATGTGCTCGCATTTATCCATCTTTGCTGAATGCCTGGCGCTTCTGAAGTCCTAGTTAAGGAATCCTGGCTGGCGTGAGGGATGGAGAGCACGTTCCTCCGTCGTCTCCTATGAGGCTTGCCTGCTGTCACCCTGGAGCTGGGGTTGGTGCTGTGTGAGGTCAGGGCCCAATTCTGCGTTTCGGATGCGGGTAGCCGGCTGACCCCACTCGGCCGAGCCGACTCGGCAGCCATTTCCTCGTGGATCGGTGTTTGCGTTTCAGCTGTTCTCAGGGGACAGCTGGCCCAATGTATCCATTCTGTGTGACTGGAAACAGAATGTCCCAATTTGACTTTTTTCCCTTTTTTTACGAGAGTTTTCTAGGCCCAAAGTGACCTTCTTAAAGGGGTGTGAAGACGCTGTGAGTGAGTCATGAGGAGTTGCAGGAGCCTTTGGGGGGAGAGAGGCCCTCCCATGCTGTCAGTGGAGGAGGCTGCAGGCTGGGCTGGTGGCCCTCGGGAAAGCCTCTTGCCCTCTCTGGACAGCAGTAATTCCATCTGCGAAAAGAGCACCCCCACCCTCACCGACAGGTGAAGAGGGGCCTGCTATACGACGGCTATGGGGAATGCTCACAAGGACGCGTGCTCAACGCAAATTAAAACTGGAAAACAAAAACCGTCAGAAAGCAAACACTTGAAAAATTTAATTCTTCCTTCTGGTGAGGCCATGGGGCGTGTGCGTTGGGACACACGGATGGCAGAGAAGGGCTGTGAGCGAGGGTGACACAGAGCTGAGAGGCAAGGGGTCAGCACGGGACCGTGGGAGCCCCGCCGTTCTCTGGGGACAGCCGAGCTCTCGGATGCAGCCGCACTGGGGGGTGAGCAAGCGCCCGGGTGGGGAGGCGGCCGCGGGCTAGCTGAGCCGCACCTTCATCTCCGACGCCTTGTAGCTGTAGTTGTAGCCTCGCCAGGACTTCCAGTTGATGCCGTCCGCGTAGCTCTGTTGGGGGCCCCCCAGGTAACGGCCATTCAGGTTGGACGAGTGACAGTTGTCGTACCACCAGGCCCCATGGAACCTCTCAGCACAGCTGGAAGAACTCCGGTCGTTGTCTTGGTCCTTGGTGGAGAAGAACCGGTCGTTGTGGGCTGTCAGGGAATCTCCTGCTCGGGGAGAAACAGGGTGGTGTCGGTGCCAGAAGAGGCCCCGCCGTCAGGGGCCCTGCCTCCCGCTCCTCATTAGCGCTGCCCTCACTGGAGAGATGCATCACCGAGCCCCGAGGACGGAGGGCCTGCCTGGGCCTTGAGGCAGAGGGAGCAGAAGGTCCATGACCCGCTCCTGGTCCAGGACCCCCTCCACACAGAGCATTGCCTCCCTCCTCCAGCCATCGCCTGTCTCCTCCAGGCTCCCCCAAGACCGTCAGACCTGTTCTGGCCCCTGAAGTCCCTCCTAGCCTGCTCCTCCTCTCTGGGCTCCGTCCCCCATCTCTGGGTCGCCCGGTGAGGACAGCACCGCCCTCATCCGGGGGCCCCCTCCATCTTCAGCCCTGGGAATGAAGCTCACCTCCGGCTCCTGCCGTTCCCGCCCGCCCCGAGCCTCAGCTTTGCCACCTGCAAAATGGGACCATGGGCCCTGCCCCGTTCCCTCCTTGGAGGGCCCAAGTGAGGTCGTGCGTGTCGGGGGCACACACTCGAAGGCTCCCGTTATCAAATGCCCGGGGAGTGCCTTGCTCTCTGCAGCTCTGGGTGCGACACAGGTAAATGGGCTCCTGCTGGAGCAGCTCTCAGCGCCTTCGCTGCATGCTGGGCTTCCCAAGAGGACGCTCCGTAGGGAATGCCTCCCCAGGTCACGTGGAACGCCTCCCCAGGTCACATGGCCAGAGACGCCTCTAGGCAGAGAACATCCCACAGGGCTCCTGTTCCGTGGAACACAGTTTGGGAACAGGGCCCTAAGACCCCGTGTGGAATGACGGTTGTGTTGCAGGTGTCAGCAGGGATGAGGGTCAGTAACGTCCGGCCCCACTCACAGACACGCAGACACGGCCTTGGGTGCGGGACCTGATTATGTCACTGGTCCCCGTGCTACACAGAGACGTGGAAATTCGTGTCTGCACTTACAGACGGAGAGGCTGGGGCCCAGAGAGAGGAGGCCCCAGCCCAGGGTCACCCAGGGGAGACGGAGCCGGGACCCTGGGCAGTTCTCTCTGCCCCCCAACCCGGCTCTGAAGCCCAGGCCACTCTGCCCGGTGCGGACTCTCACCTGCGTTGCCCCCGACGAAGGCTCCCAGGACCAGCTTGTACTTGTCTGCCTCGTCCGCCAGCTTGAATGACCCGTACTTGGCAAACTGGAGGTTTCCCTGGAAGTCCAGGAGGTCGACCCGGAGCTCACTGGTTCCTGGGGGGAAAGGCTTTCAGGTCCCAACCTTGAGTCCTTCTGCCTTCAGCGAGGGGAGATGGAGCATTTGGGTAAATTCTTGAGGGATGTCTGAAGTTGACATCCAGGGAAAGTTCGACTGGGACTATATGGAAATCCCATGTGGATGTGAGGACCTCGGCAGTGGGTCTATTTCTAAATTCTTCCCTGTATTCCGTAAGCCGTGCCTGAAATCCCACAGTTAGCGCTCCTTTGATGCATTGAAGCACTGCTCTATTTTGAAAGTGTAAATTCTCCTGCAGATGATTAAGCTACTAACATGATGGGTTGAGAAACTATTGTAGTTTCTTTTTTAAGAATTTGAGGCCTGTGAGCGGATGCCTTCCCGGTCGCCAGGGGGTAGTGGATGCAGGAAAAAAAGGGTCTACAATGTGGCACTTCACCTCGGGACCAGCGGAGAAGCTAATCCTGTGGGATAGAGAAATGGGGGTACAGTCCTCTCTCTCTTGGGGTGCGTGTGGCTGTGTGGGGACTGTCACATGTGCTGGCCGGGGGAGGCCAGGGAGGGGTCACGGTAGGGCTAAGATCCCAGTTTCAAGACCGACAGTCTGAAGTGGCAGGGGGCTAACCCGAGACCTCACGGCCTCCTTCTCACGCCGTCCTCTCGGCAGGTATAACTGGCCCTGAGGCCGGAAGAGGTCTTCACCCCAAGAATCCCAATTCCTCTGATTCTAACATTTAGAGAGTCTAAGAGAACACACGTCCTAGGTTGTCACAGTTGTTCTGCTCTGAGAGTTAACCCCGTGGGTAAAGGAGGAGCAGGGTCTTCTGTCCCAAATGGCCCAAGTCTAAGGTCAGGGGCATGTGGATTTCAGAACCCCAAGACCACCAAAGCCCCCGGCACGGGCCCTACCCTGGGCGGTCAGGGCGTGGATGTTGTCGTTCCCCAGCCAGAACTCTCCCAGCTGACTGCCAAAGCCCCGCTTATACGCTGCCCAGTCCCGGAAGAAGTCCACGGAGCCGTCGCTCCTTCGCTGGAAGACCTGTGGAGGACGACAGGGCTCGGGAGACCAGGGCAGCCCCCGGGGACCTCGGCCACACTTGGGAGCAACATTTGTAGCTCACAGAGCATCCTGGGCCCAGACCCCAGGGCCTGTCAGGAGCGTGCCCACATGTGACCAAGGAGGAAATGCAGACTCAGAGAGGGTAGGCGACAAGCTCAAAGCCACACAGCTGGAGAGTAGCAGGCTTCCCTCCTGGCCTCACCCCAGGGCCTGGACTCCCTCCCACATGGGTTCACCACCCACCCACATTTCCCGTTCTCCCCGTCCTCAGTGAAAGGAAAGGGCCAGCCCGGGGCTGCAGGGGCACACATTTTCATGAAGGCCACAGAGAGAGTTCTCCGCCAGGCGTAGAACCCGGTCTGTGAGAGTCCCAGGCACTGCCCCCTCTGCCCAAGGGCCACGCGGTGTCTTGGAGATCCTGACACTCACCGTCCACCCCCCGCCATCCGTGTCCATGTCGCACAGCACAGTCAGGGGCCGGCAGTCACGCAGGTAGATGGTGTGCCAGCCGCTGAGAGTCTGGCCACTGGTGAGCAGCTCCTTGCAGTTCCGAGGTCCTGGGGACGGAACCCGGGAAATGGATTCTGGGACAGGGAGCCCTGGGCAGGGCGGGTGCAGGGGAGGGGCAGGAGGGAGAAGCAGGCACAGGGGGCATCCACATGGGTGGAGGGGGACTCCGAGGCCCGGGGCAGAGGTGCGGCCCTCCAAGGCCACCCAGTTGTGACGGCCAAGCCCGGTCCCCCTGCCATCCCCACCTCCCGGGCTGCCCCCACCTTAGTCCCCAGGCACCTAGCCTTCCAGGGAATATTATAAGCTCCTTCAGCAGAATTACTATGGAATATTCTAGAGTTATCCAGGCGATAGATGCCTATTACTTGAGTAATTGAGGGAGTAAAATATGTGTAGACACTGTATTGTCCTTGGGCTTTGGAACTTGAGCCTGTGCTGCTGGCCAGCGGGGAGCAGGTCCAGGCTCAGGTACCCAGGTCAGTGGTGTGGTCAGTCACCTGTGGCACACATTTGAGGCTGCCCAGGGTCTCCTGTGTGGGTACAGAGGACACACATGTCACAAGTCTGCAGATCAGAGTACCTGACCCCTCCAGCCCCAGTTGCTCCACGGACATTGAAAGGAGAATGGAGACAATTATCCAGATCCTTCCAGGTGGGATGGGATCCCTTTCTGATGGGTGGCTCCTAGACTCTACTTCTCTGGAGCGTGTAGGGCAAACCTTCATTTGCTTGGCCCCCTCCTGCCTCTGGCTTTGCCCGCAGGGGACGGGGACAGTCAGCACCATCGCTCGGGGGCACTGACTGGACTGCTGTCCTGGCCATCGCGTTTGGCCCTCACGGGCTCAGAAGCAGAGACCCGACCGCTCCGGGTCTGTCACGGTCAGTCCAGCTCAGCCCGGCCTCCCCCTCGGCGTCTCCAGGTGTGGAGAGGATTGGGAGGCGTTTGGTATCTGGGTCTGGGCCCCAAGCTTGCATTTTTTGCTTGACGACAGAGAATGTGACTATGTCTTAGAGTTTTCTGAGTTTTGCCTTTTCTGATTTTTACAAATTTTTTTATAAATGAACGTAAATCAGAAAAAGAATAGACTAAGTAGAATGTCCACATTCATGCAGTCATGTAGTCTTGCCAACCATTGGGTCCAACGCTGGCCGAGGCTGGGCTGTGAGCTGAGAGAACCCCCCACCCCGTTGCCTGAACAGAGGGCACTTGGGTCTGAGACCCTCCCCACGGCGTGGTGCTGGGCTTGACCAAGGCCTCTGGGACCCCTCCCCTGGACAAAGCCTGCCGAGGAGCCAGGACGGCGGGACAGGCTCACCTTTCTCTCCACGCTGGCCCTTCTCCCCGCGATCTCCTGGAGAGAGACACTGGAGTTAGGACCGCTGATGGGGAGAACGACTGGTCCCTGAGACACTGACACCTGCTCTGCTTTTCAGGAGGTCGGCTGGGTGGAGTCCCAGGCTGAGGGCTCTGCACGCTACCTGCTACCTACGCATGGCTCTGTTGGCTTACGATGGTTTTAAAGCGCCAGGTCTCATGGGAGGGGAAGGGGACTCTGGGACTCTTCCCCTGGTGAGGAGGGGTCACTCTGGACCCGGGACCCTGCATTTAGGACTCAGTTCACACACTATCTCAAGGCTCTTTGGAAATGGAAAATATGACGGGGTCCCTCTCCGTCTCTCTGTCTCCCTCTCTGTGTCTCTCTCCTTCTCTCTCTCTTTCCACCCTCCTCCTTTCTCTCTGTCTCTCTCCCTCTTCCCCCTATCTCTCTCTCCCTCTCTGTGTCTCCTCCCTTCTATCTCTGTCTATCTGTCTGTCTCTACAGCTCTCATTTCTCTATAGACAGACCTTGGGGTCCCACTCAGGGGTCTTCACTCTTTATCTAAAAGGTGGCATGTACCTCTAGGCCCAGGTGGTCCCGCCTTCCCAGGGGCTCCAGGGGAACCTCTTTCTCCTGCAAATTCCAAAGATACTTCATTGAGAAAAATGCAACCTAAGCAATTCTACTTGAGAATCTTTGCTCCAAGTGGTAAAGCCCCGACCCGTCTTGCTCCAGCCCCAGTGGTCTGCAGAATCGCGGCCCCCGGGACTCAGCTGGCAGTGACTGCAGACGGTGGGGACACAGCACCCACAGTAGCACAGGTGCAGCCCGGGCTGGCACCTGAGCTCAGGCCCCAGGGTTACCACTTGGCTTCCAGCCTCCACTGCTCTCTGTGGAGCAGGCCCAGGTGCGTGCTGATCTGACAGAGCTCGACCGTCTGGTCAGGGGCCTGGGACAAGGAAAACGTCCTCCAAGACCCTGTCACACCAGGTCCCCTGGGAGACGGAGAGCCCGAGCCTCTGGGCGCAGTAGAGGTCGGGGTGCAATTACCTGCCCCTCCTCGTGGAGAGAGGAGGTGTCAGGAGCCATGTGACCTCCCAGGCCGGCATTATCTATGCTAGCAGGGGGCTAGGACGGGCCAGCTCCCAGCTTCCACACACCACGTGGGCCTGAGCCCAGAGCAGGGCCCTCCCCTCCCCCAAAGTCATCCCAAGCGATGGGTGGGAGGGTCAGGAGAGGCCCCCAGGCTCCGCTCAGCAGCCGCACATCCCCCAACAGGCTCAGCATCCTGCAGCGGGCAGGGGCAGAGCAGTGGGGCTGGCTCAGCTTGGGGGCAGATTACCCACACCCACCCGTCGAAGCCTGGTCCAGGGAGGTTGGACCCAGACTTGCTTCTCCTCCTTCCTCGGGCAAGAGCTCCTCCCCAGCGTTCCTCACTGAGCCCATCACGGTGAGCACACACAGCCCTCCCGATCCTAGGACTGGATGCGACGTCGCTACCAGCTGCCGTTCGAGTGTCCACACACACAACCCAGGCCAGGGGCGCTCTCCTCAAAAGGCAGCACCTTTGTTGACCTTTTGGTGCACACCTGCCCTCTGTACCAGGCTCGGCGACCCAAAGCCATGCAAAGCGGGCCGCCACCATGGTGGGAGAGGGGCCACACAAGAGGTCCTTGCGCAGAACCCACTGGCGGCCTGCAAGCCGACCTGGATGGAGGCCCAGCCCCAGGCCTCCCGATGGGAGACGCAGGAAGCTGCTGACTCCTTGAGCCTCCGTTTCCTCCTCTGAGGTGGGGACAGAAGAAAGTCGTGGCCTCAGTGTTCAGATGAGAATACGGAGGATACAAGACCAGAGATCTTGCCAATGGGCACGTACAGCCAACACTGGATCAAGGACCAGGAAGCAGATATTCCATGAAAATATGCCCAAACGTGCGCTCATAAAATGCTTCACAGACCAGCTCCCTCTAGGGAATTTCAGAAGCCCCCGTGGGCCTGGGGGGGTGGGCTTCTGACACTGGCTCCAGCAGGGCCAAGACCCAACCTCCCGACCCGGGAACCGTGTGTGGTGTTGCCCACCTTGGGGTCTCATTTGAGAAGAGCAAGAACTCAGTGGAACCCCTCACCCATCCCGGAGCACATACCTCTCCCTCCAGTGGCGCCTGTGTCTCCCTTGGGCCCCACGGCTCCAGGCATCCCCGGGCACCCTCGGAGAATGGTGAGCTTGTCGGAGCCCTCTAGACCTACCATCTTCACCTCTGCAGAGAAGCACAAAGTGCCAGTCAGGGCGCTCGTCCCGGGCCGAGGGCCCCGCAGAGCTGGCAACAGGCGCCCGACGTGAGGGGATCTGCCCCTGCAGTGACCTCCGGCCTGGGCAGATGGCTCTGGCCAGTGTCACCTGCCTCAGCTGAGGGTCAGCCTGGCAGTGAGCTTTTCCTGCCTCTGGTGGGCGCTGGTCAGGAGGGGAGTTGATGCGAGGCAGAGCCCTGGCATCAGAGTCCACGCTGCCTAAGGGGAACCCAGTTCCTCAGTGCTGTGTGTGTTTGGGTAAGTTGCTCAACCCCTCTGGGCTTCTGTCCTCTGAACTGCCAGGAAAGACAGGAATAGGTCTGTGGAGAGGATTAGATTAGATGATGCAAATTTTAAAAATCCTGGTATAACTCAAGGCATTTGAAAAGAGCTGCATCAACAGTGGGTACTTTCAATAAATAGTAACAATAAATATTTACAGGAAACTTTGGGAATTTGGGTCAACGTAGCATTTTCACCCTCAGATCTTGGGTGACCATAGGAGTCCTGAGCCAGAAGATCTCAGAAGGAGTCCGTGTGGGTCCCCTGGAGAGGGGAGGTGTTTAACCCAAGGACACAGAGCAAGCTCCGGCCAGACTGGAACCAGGGAATTATTTGCTTCTTAGATTTGAATTATATTGATCACAAAATTCAACTATCCTCACGAGAGAAAACTTTGAGGAATATGGCATCGTCATCAACTCCGGAGGAGGCTGGACTGACCCGGGAGCAATCCCTCTCCAGGCGTGGCCCATCCGCCTGCCTGGGATGGGGAGGGAGACCACTCTCCCTTTGAGCCCCTGGATCTGCTGAGTCGGACCCTCTGGGGTGAGGGCCAGCAGTCTATGTTAAACCCCCGGGCAGGTGGGGGAGCCCCGGGTTAGAGAACCTCAGAGCGCCTCTCCGGAAACCCATGAGCAGACAGAGACGGTGAAGGGGGTTTTCCTCCTCCCCAGCGAGACAGTCCAGGCCGGCTGTGAGGCTCCGTCAGTAAACCGTGGGCTTGGGATCCAGACCCCAGAAGAAGTCCCTGCTCCTCTCCCTCCCACCAGAAGCATGCGGGCCAGTTGTCTCCTTGCCAGAGGATGAAGTCGAGCTGTTGACAGTCTTCAGAAGACACGTGTAGAGGGTTTAAGAGGGGGCTCCGTAAGTGGTCAATGAGGGGCCAGTTATCAGCTTTCAGGGCCCAGAGAACTCAGGTCCGTCTCACCTGGACAGGTGTCGGCAGTCTGGGCAGGCAGGGTCTGGATGCACAGCAGCAAGAGGAGCTGGCCTCCAGGCCCCAGGGCCATGGCAACTCTGCTCGGCTCCATGTCCTCTGGTCTCTGGCCTCGAAGAGGCTCCCAGCTCTTATAGGGTTGCCCAAGCCCGGGCCCGGAGTTTCTCTGCTCCCCTGGGGACGCCCACTTCCTGCAGGCTCTTTGGTTGCACCAACAGGAGGTACGAGATGATCACAGAGGGTGTTTCCTTCCCCGTGGGCCCCACCAAGCTGCCCGCTGAATCAGGCTCACTTCCTCCAGCAAGGACACCTTGTCCCCAGTCAACTGAGCTCCCAGGATGCCTCTGCCGGAAAGGGTCTGCCTGGCTTGTGGTTTAAGGAAAGCACAGTCTCCAAGCGCCTTTTCATTACCCAGGATCCCCAAAGAGTGCCCTGAGGCCCTGGAGGGTTGGCTGAAGATAACTCCCTCATCTGATCTCCAGAATATTCAGGGTCTGAGCCAGTCACTGACACTTGACATAGGGGAAGGGAAAAAACTCTGGGCTCCTGTCATATGCTAAGTTCTACTTACACCAGCTCCATCGGATAGGAGCTATTATTTGAATTTCACAGGTGAAAAAATTGAAGTCACACAGCTAGAAAGAGCCAGATGTGGTGTCAAGTCTGCCTGATGCACTGAGGACCACTGGTCCGCTCATTAGACCTGAAGGTGAGGACATGCCTTGTCCTGCAAATCCCTGAGGCATCGTCCATGTCTGGTTCTGTGGATCATGCTCAGCCTGAGCACGTTGTGGGTGCTTCGGGAAGGGGCTCTGCAGATGTGTGGAAACGCTCACTGAGGAGACAAGGACAGTGACACATGGGGAGGAGCGGGGCGGGGGGACATTCCTCTGTGACTTGATGTTTCTCTGGCAGCATGCATGGGCTGGCGTTCTGAATGCACCAGCTCCCCAAGTAGGAAAGAATGGTGGGACGGCCAGACCAAAGGTTCAGCAAAAGGAGTGGGCTGTCCAGGGGGACATAGGACCTTAGATCCCTCTCTATCGGGGCTGCAATGATACTAGACTTTGCCAATTTCTGTGCAGCGGCTTCAGCCTATGAGACAGAGGAGGCAGACAGGCTGTGTTGCCTCAGACACCACTTAGCCTCCCTGAGCCTCTGGACCAGGCAGCCTGCTCCCACAGCACAGGCGTGGGTTTCAGGGGTGCCACTTTCGTCTGTTGGGGAGCAACGACAGCAGGAGTGCTCACCTGGGGTGAGTCAGGACATCGAGAGAGGCAGCAGGTAAATGTCCCTCAACTCTATCAACAGGTGACCCCCTAGGGACCAGAGTGGTTCCTTTTCTTTGCATTTTCAGTAGAACAATTTCAGGTGAGACGTCAGCAATCCAATCAGATATCCATTTAATGTTCCTAAGAGGATGTGAGAATGAAAGATTCTGTCAAGTTCAAATATCTTAAAGTTGAATCAATAAGAGACATTTGACTTCTGGCAATGGCAGGTGAGGTATTTTGGGTCATCCATCCTACTAAGGAAAAACAGACAAATAATTAAAAAAGCTATTTGCCTGAAAGCATAGCCAAGTGAACCATCTAGGAAAGGGTTACCTTGCCGAGTCAGCCATCTAGGAAAGGGTTACCTTGCCACACCATTGGGTACACCAGAAGTCCGGAGCAGGGAAACCAGGACTTGGGCCTCTTTGCCAGGGGTTTTGCCAATCCCTAAAGACACCTGAGAAGCTGGTCGGTTTCCTTGACAATTTTGCAGTGCTAAAGGTCAAAGGTTGGAGTCTCGGGCCTCTTGAGGGTGTGAATTTGGGCTTGGGATCCAGAAGGGCTGCTCTAGGAATAAGGATGAAGCATCAACAGCCAGCATCTGAGCGTCCCAGGAAAAGCATCTCAGCTCCTGAAATTCTAGCAAGGTCTTCACAGATGCTCACGCCCTCAGGCTTCCAGCTGAAACCAACACAAATCTTCTCTGAAGGAGAATAGCACTGTCGCAGGACTTACGTCATTTCTGCAAGTATATACACATATTTTTGAATTAAATGTTAGAACATTGTAAAATATCACCAGCTTCATGCGGATAAAAGACAAAATGTGCAAGAACAAATAGAAACAACAGATTATAGAAGCAGACCCCCAGAAGCTGCAGACACCAACATACAACGTGATTAATGGTGAAAGTTGAAAAGCATCCTCAGAGACTGAGAACAGACGAGGATGGTCAGAATCGCCACTTCTGGTCAACGTTGGATTGGAAGGCAGAAAAAAAATGTAAAAGGATTGGAAAAGCAGACACAAAATTATCATTATCTTCAGAAGATATGAGTTAGTATGCAGAAAACTCAAGAGAATCTAACATTAAATTTTTAGAATGAATATGCTTAGCAAAACTCAATTGTGTTTCTTAAAATTAGCCAGAAAGTATTACAAGATGAAATTGTAAAAATTTGCAGTAGCAACACCAAAGTTGAATAACCGTGAATAAATCTAACAAAACCGATGCTAGACCTCTGTGCAGAAAACTATTAAATACGAAGAAAGAGACATTAAAGGGCATAAAAATATTTGGAAGGATAGTCTATCCATGTTCATGGATTAGAATGTTCAATATTGTAAAGATGTTAATTTCCCTCTAATTGATCTATAGATGCATTGTATTATCAATTCAATGCTCATTTTATTGCAAAACTTGACAAGATGAATTTAAAATTTGTATAAAAGGCGAAGGGTCAATAGCTAAGATGCTCTCGAGCAGGGACGAGGAAAGCTGACTTGCTCTGCCTGACGCCGATGCTGTCGTGAGACACAGGAATTAAGACAACCTGGTACTGGCTCCAGGACACAGACCAAACCGATGGCACTGAACAAACTGTCCAGAGACACATTTAGGCATACGCTGACCCTTGACCTAGGACAGTGGTGGCTCTACAGAGCAATGGGGAAAGAATAAGCTTTCAGTAAATGGTGTGAACTACTGGGATTTCATATGGAAAAACAAGAAATGAAACTTGACCCTTTTCATAGAACAGAAAGGTGATAGTCTATTATTAGAGGAAGAGGGCTGTGCAATAAAATTAAAACAGGAAACCCCCGCTAGGCTGGCCGCTCCCACACCCCAGGCAGAGTGCTTGGGGCCCAATGACGGAGGACCGTGGGGGAGATGCTTTGCTGTGCCCCGCCCGCCGTGGGCAGCCAGCGGGGTCTGGCCCTCTCCCTCCAGGAGGAGACCACAGGGGGGCCCGGCTTCCCCAGACCTCCGGCAGGCCCTGTGTTCCTTGCTGTTTCTAGGAACTGAGAAAGTCCCAGAGGAAGTCCCAGCTGGTTGACGCTGTGCGTGGGGCGCCCTGTGCTGTGCTCACGTGTGGGAGGAGTGGTGCTGCCAGACCGTGTCATGAGGGGTGGTCTGAGGGGGCTGGGACTCCCACACGCCCGCCCTCGGGGCCTGGGTGCTCCCTCGGAGGAGCCGTCCTAAGGGCTTTGCGGCAGGAGGGCTGGCAGAGTGCGTCAGGTGATGCTCACTCTCCAACTCCCCAAGGACACCCGGTGAGAGCTTAGGTAGCGAGGCGGCAGCGAGGAGGGGGTTCCATGGTTGAGATCTCGAGGTCTGGGTCAAGGCGGGTCTTGCAACAGGGCCCGGGTCAGCGGATCACCACGTCATAGTTTAGGACTGGTCGGCACAGCAAACGGAGGACTTGGGGCCCAGAAGCTTCCAGTCAAACCGCTGATTTCCATCGCTGAGTTGATGGGTCTTTGGGGAAATCCCTGCTGTGAGCACTGAAGTCGTTTGCAGCTTTCATCGTCCTGAGCAAGAGTCTCCAGGAACTGCAGGGCACCGGGAGCAGCAGGCGCGCCCTCCCGCACCTACAGAGAACTGGCTCCTCGAGGCCACCAGTGCTGGCCTCCTTGCGTCTGGCTCCCTCCCAGGAGTGGGGCCTGTCCCCTAAGCCAGGTTGTCTCCTGTCCCTCTGCTGGGCCACCCTCCCGGCCTGCTCTTCAGGTCCACAGGCTGTGGGAAACAGGGCCGCTCGCCTGGCTGCACGCACTACACCTGGGAGTCCCGGCAGGCACCTCTGGCTGTGAGGTCGGTCTACACCCGGAGCCCTTCAGCCGGGGCAGAGGCTGTCAGCCAAGCCTGGAGCCCAGAGCCTGGGAAAGGGGCCCCCACAACAATTTGAGCATTTCTATTTGGCGGAGGAGGAAGCAGGGCTTGCTGTGAAGGATGCCACGGGCAGCACCATGCAGACCTGGGTTCTCCTGATCCAGGCGGTGTGACCTCAGGCCAGACACTTGACCTCCCTGAGCCTTCTTTCTCTTGTGACTCGGGAGAACAGGGTGGATTGGAAGACCCCATGGAGGAAGGATGATAAGCAGGAAGTATGGGGTCTGCGATAGACTCAGGGGTCAGTGGCCTCTGTGTCTGCCCTTCCCCAGCTGGCGCAACCTGCCTCCCAGCATCCTCCCCTCCCGGCTTCCAGGGCTGGCCCTTCCTGTCCTGGCACCGTGCCGGTCAGGCCTCAGTTTCCGTCCGGTGTTTCACAACCTGGGAGGAGGTGCCCGCTGGCTGCTGGGCCGCTGTTGTAAGCTCCAGCCCCCCGGGGCCTCCCACCCTCAACTTCCATCCCTGCCCCCACCCCTCCCTCGGCTGGGCCAGCGGTGCTGCTCCATGGAGGGCTCGGGCGCTGCACCCTGCGGTGGGCCCAGCTCTGCTGTGTGGGCAGAGCCAGGAGGGGAGGCCGCGCCACCTCGAGGGGGTGGGGCTCTGCAGAGGCTCTGGGGGCACCGTTCTGACAGCCCGTGACACATTTAGGGGGGTCACAAAAATGTTTTTGATTTCTTTTAAAATCAGAAGAAAAAGCAAATAAGATTCGGCCCAGACTATATTCATTTTTGAAACTCCATGGTTGTAAAATATGACTTCTTCTATTTTCTGTGGAGGAAGGGGCCCACAAAGACAGACGTGCCCAGGGCCCCCCAAGAGGCGCTCCCCCTAGGGACCCTGCTGGCACATTCCGGGCAGCGCTGGGCGGGGTCCGCACCGCGGCCAGGCTGTCGAGGTCAGAGGGTGTTTTTCTCTCTCTTACTCTCACTGGCCTGAACCCTCCGCCTCCCACCAAAAACA